AATGATTAAGTACTGTCTATTCAAAATACTGGACATTTTGCCGCGTTTTGGACTACTAGGAAACACTACGACATACGCTGAACGACCAGAATAGAAAAAATGCTATGGTTCTGTGCGAATCCAAAGGTCACACAGACCGAAGCCCTTTGGTCTCTTTAAGCCAAAGTCCGTCTTGATTTTATTGACTGATCGCGTCATTTGAGACCAAGATAGACAGTTATTGTAACGTTCCAAACGTTGTTACTCCTCAGGGTGTACAGAGCCACTTCCTCCACAAAGGTGATTTCTGCTCCCGTCAGTTGATTAATCAGAGGAACGCAATGCTCGGAAATCCCATAGTCCCGCCTGATACGAATGACTTGTGAAAGGATGGTTTTCGCTGCGGAGTTATTTACTCGAAAATGCCAACTGACCGGTTACAGACCATTGAACAGGGAAGCAAAACTCTAATCTGCATCTTAGTTACAAAAACTGGACACCGATCTTTTCCCGAAAGAGTCTTCTTGAACTTTCCTGGAGATTCATTGACTCCACTCATTCGTCGGTCAAATCCAAACAAATGCTCCATGAATTCCGCAACAGATCTCCCTTTTTCAAAAGACGCAAGGCGAAATTCTACGAACAACACATACTACTCGCGTGCCTCCCCATCAGTAGTATCACCGTTACACTTGTATACGGAATTTTCGCTGTTTTCAGGAATAGCAGTTTTCGAGTCGATTCAGTGCAGACTGTTGTCAGGTAGGTACGCTACATTACCCAAGTTCGACGTGTGCGCTTACGAGATGTGTTGATTTTGTTTTCACACCACCGTTGTTTGAACAATCTCCCTTCTGTTCCAATCTACGCAAAAAAACGGAGAAAGCAGACAGGGCTTTTACTTTTATAAGGGCTCATCGGCAATCAATTTCCTTAACCGTGTCGATGCTTGAACATAAGCCCCATAGCATGTGAATCGAGTATGTCACCACTGCTCCATCACGGTCTTAATTTGTCGTGTCCAATCAGCCGAACATCTCATAAGTGTGATTGTATCAAACAACGCTCCAGCGATTGGCCTGACAGTGTTCATCGATTGACCTGCCAGACAAAACTTTAGAGTCAGGGCAACCGGTTTCAACCTTCTGTGGCTTCAGGACCGCGTTAATCGATGAAGTAGGCTATGCTGTGGGGCCAAACACTAATTTTCAATTTTGCCTGCTTATTAAGGTGTGTAGAATAGGTGCAGATTCCCTTTGCTGGCAAAGTAGGTGAAAGAAGAGGGTAAAACAAGAATGATACCCCTTGTTTAGGACTCTATTCAACGACGGCTCCCATCTGTGGACTATGGAATACAAAATTTGCTTCGTCACTTCATCAGACTAGTGAGTGATGATTTTTTGTTTAAACAATTTCTCTTGGGAGTGAATTCCCTTACTCAATATTCAGTCCCAACAGAAGGCCTACCCATCAACAGACATAAGGACCGGGAGGACAGCGTAGAGTAATCAGAATGTTGCGTAAGGAACGGATTTTTATTGGACCCGAATTTTCAGTTTGAGTACGTGAAGACTGCACTAATGTTACACGATTTACCCATAACCTACTTTTTCGAAGCCGCTGTCTCTCGCAGAATTTTAGCGAGATTTGTCAGAATGAAACATCACAAGTGTACACACGTAGCTGCATCATGGGGCGTCCGGCTAGTCACATTCGTGATGACGAGTGACCATTTGATCTTTACCATTGTGGTAGCAAAATAAGTCAAAGATGCCTGGCAAAAAAACACTTATTTCATCATCTTGAGTATCACTTTTGTCCAATTCTCCAACCAGGGACCACGTACAAGTTAAACTTTCCTCAGACTCTCAAAATATTCAAATTTGGTTGGCGGAAGATGATGAAGGGAATTCAGTAAGTTTCAAGAAGCGATACAAAAACATGCAGAAATTATTACATCAGAAGGTATGAGTGAACAGTTTGACACAGAAGCATACTTGTCTACCACATTCTTCCACATCAGTGGGGTTGCACCCAAACACAAACGGGATGGTTCATTGATGTCTTAACCCCTTTAGTGGTATGAAACAATAGGGCTAAAATCGGTTACAACTTTATGTTTCACCTGCTGGCCGACCATTAGCTCTCTTCCAATTAGACGCATCTTGAGAAATATTATCTCGGATAAACAGACCTGCCAACCGTTTGTAGTGCTTCAGATTCTATGACCAGTTGTTGTCGCACCAAACAGTTTGGAATTTGGATGGTAAAACGCAATCCAAAAAGTTTAATAGCATTTGTATAGCGTACTCAGCTGCGTATCTATTTGTTCTTTCTTCGTGAGACTCAACTGAATCTTTGTTGAAGAGCTCGCTTGAGATGTGCTATTTAAGGCCGTCTCATCATTCATTGGTACGCTATCCGACATATTGCAGTATGTTTTCCCGATAGAGCATACTACTTATGAGCTAAGTGAAAACTCTTTGACAGCCTAAGGGCGACTTCTTCCTTCCTGGGCCTCAAGGGATAGATGAACGAGATCCATTCCATAAATTAGATATATGTCTAGGTCTCAGCTGGGTTTCCTGCTAGAACCAAGTTGTTGTGCAACTCAGTGTACTTCGCGAATTTCCCACAATTCGGGTTCGCTTGGAGCATAAGGTTTTGAGAACTCGGAGACTACGCCTGCATGGTAAGACCCAAGAGAGCTAAAACCGGTTGTGAGCTGTTGAAATTTTTTTCAGTAACTTTATGACCAAGTTTTTCTTAAGGGGAAGTATGGCAACATTATTTACGTTTTTATTAAATTGCGTTCCGTGTCTAGCCGGAGTATGATTCAAACAGTAAAATGCTGTCTGCAAAGGATAGGTTACGCTAAAAGAGAAAGTAAGAGGGCGATGAAAGTGGACACAAACAAAATCAAACTCAGGGAAAGCAGTAGAAAGTAAGATTTCGAGAGTCGACGAATCGTCACGCATAAACTGTGTGCACTGGATAATGTTGAACAATACTACCACCCCTTGTCTATCTTTCGAACAATGCCTCATGGCTAATTTGGAGCGGGAAAATTAGGTTGTGGAACAAAGTAGACGTTTGTTAGTATCGCGCAAGAATGAGTATGAAAATGCGTTGCCAGTCTAACGTTGTTCTTTGGTCGAACGAACACCAGTCTATCTTGATTATTCACTCTCGACCTGTCTTGTGCCCGACTTCAGGTAGAAAACATTTTCCACGAATGTGATTCATAGCACTGTTCCCTGTGAGGCTGTTTGCGTGTTGTGTGAGCTATTTTTTCGAGTTCCATCGATCGTGAATCCAGCTTCATAGTGATAATTATACAACAACCACCATAGAGAAATCGATCGATCTCTAAGTATGCTGGCACACTTGCTTCGTCTCGCCTTGCGCATCCTGACTGACACGTACGTGCGGATGCATTGGCACTCATTCACACTTATGCTGGCGCCGATGTCTGTCGTAATGTCAGTTGCGCGTCGTGTGTCCGTGCGATCTCCGAGTGCGGACCGTCTCAGCTATTATCAACGGATAAGCATGGTTGATGGACTGTCACACAATCAGAGGTTCACTTGAAAGACTGGCCACCTGAGAATATGAGACAGTAGCGATTGGTTTGCAACAGCACACGTGAGAACTTTCTCCGCTGTTCGACCATTGTGTTACACTCCTTTTTTTGTTTTTTTAAGCGGTAAGCAATGCACAGACAATAAGGTTTAAGTTAGGCTGTATTTAAGCGAATTGGGCAGACCACTGGCGGTTCATTCGTTAGCGGTTTTTTTAACTGAGAGTTGTTGCCTCCAGCCTATTGGTGCCGGGGAGTTCTTTCGGTCGGATGAAAATTTTACTGAGCACTGCTGCGAGGCACGCGTTTTTACTTTTCTTGGCTTTTTAAGCTGATAGAACTCACCAAAGCTGGTTGAGTTCACTTGCTTGCTCTGAACGCTCTTATTGCCAGTGCACCAATAAAGACAAAGCTATCAACTAGGTGCGTTTATTGGGTGACAAGAATGGCATTTCACTGCCACACCAAAGCTCTACTTGACGGGGGTAGGTGATAGGAACTTTTTTCACAGAAAGTAGTACATCCTCCAAATCAACTGACCCAGGTTCATAGTAAGTGACCTTGCTGGTTTTTTCGGTCAAAGTGTCAACCTCATTTTCTTAAAACAAAATACTGAAACAAGTCACCAATAAAAATGTCTTGGAATATGTGACAGCCGAATAGTTCGTATGACGATTCTGCATGTACGTCTATCAAGATCATTTGCTCAAACCCTACGTCAATCGGGTTCTCGTACAATCCTGCCTTACTGGACTCAGCAGTGTATATGGCGTGAAAATGCGAGGGCGGCTTAACCGCGGTGAAAACAGAACATATGACATGTCATGTGATCGTTGCCCGGCTCATACAGAAGTGGTGCACCTACAGTGCGTTGAACGAATGAAACTCCAAGGAGAGCCAAAACCCTCGAACTGACTGATTCCAGCCAATTTCGAACGGAAGACGTGGTATATCGGTTAGCTTGACGCCGATCTACCAACGGTACATTTGTGCATTTCACTTTGTTGTTTATTCGTGGCGCCTGGTCCCAGAAGGCCTGCCGCGTAATCTCTTTAAACTAGACAGTGTGCAAGAGTACATGTATTTCACTAGTTTTTAGAGTATGCTAGTTGGTGTGGAACAAAGAAGAGCACAACAAAAATCGCCCACTCACAGATGGTTGTCCGCCGAACCCGCTGAACAACAATTTTCACTGCGTCTTCTCATAGAACATGAGGTGACTCAGCCCGTGTAGTGGAACCGTGTTCAAAGTAGAGTCTTAGGAACCGTAAATATTCTTGAAAACCTCGGAATTCATCTGTTTTTCCCTGAGAGCCGAAATGCAAACCGCATTTCTGCAAAGTAATGTGCCTGTTCTGTGTAAAGTGTATTCCGCTTAGTTGTACGCGTACTTTAGGAAACAGATGATTTCCTTTCGAGATGCTCCGAAGTTCTTAATTACCGGGAGTTTTCATCGAGACGATGGTTGCGTAGTGCTTGATATTTCGCATTTCTGTAGTTAGGATCGAGTGTCCCGTCTTCGTATATAACTAGCTGTCTTCCTGAAGAATATATGGACTTCTCCGGACCACTGCCGTAAACGGTCATGCTAAAGTAAAAAATACAGAGTTTGGTTCCACATGCCCGAAATATGACCATCCCCCGTAATTTATGTCTCCTCCGTACAGATATCATGCATTCGCTTGTGCTTAATGTCGTTCTAATCAAAGCTGTGTTTCGCGTCTTTCATTGTGAAAGTCTGTCTTCGCCTTCGATCGGCTCTGGTTTGCCTGAAGTTTCCTAAGCGAGAGCGCGCACTGGCCACCTGGGCATTAGGAAATATTGCGATTATTCGCTGGTGTGATGTAGCACTGTTACGGAGCCATTTTCTTCTTGGCGGCAGTGTAAAACAAGTATAAAAAAAGAACTCTTCCCCTCCTTGGCTGCAACGGTTAGGGAAATTTGCTTAAGTGGCAGTCTTAAACAAACAAATAGGGTTTTGGGGCAGAGTAGTAGCGCAAGATGTCTATCTGACCAGTCTCAAGGAGCGGTAGATTCTATGAAACCTAGGTAGATAATGTATTTGTGATCCGAGGAGGGGGTATATACGAGTACTATGCACAAACATTTTATGGAATTCAGGAGAACTGTATGAAGTTTGCGTTCGTGACTCCTGAAGTTAGACTTCATTTATTCCTCTCAACCGTTACCACTCATTACAATTTTTACTCATCCTCACCTTTATACACGGCAACAACAAAGCATTTGTTTGACGAAACACACAGGTACTTCTATTCTACGATAACTCGTGGGAGTTGTGATGTCAATTCAGGTGGTCTTGTCTTGTACGAGGCAGAAACACGCAACACGCAGTGATGACGAAACCTGTTAGGGCGCAACAGCTATTCTGTCTTTCTCTGGCCACAGTGAATGCTCCATGAAAACCCATCGTTCTTCCCTATGTAAGCAGTGCTGGTGCTGGTTCACACGAACCAGCATGCAGTTCACAGGACAGTGGTATACTTTCCTCACGCATTCTCTAACACCTACCTGTGGGGAAATGTAGAATTCAGAGACCCTGGAGATAACTGTATGCCTCATATTTAATGCGACTTGCAAAAGCTCTAACATTACTACACGCGTATATTTGATAAACTCAGGTCTGCAAAGTATCTCACTCGCGCGAGGCATCCGCGTCATGTGCATTATCATTTGAAAATGTTAGTAGAGTAAAGGGCTGCAGATTTCCATGCACACGGTAAACGGATGTCTTATTTGCCAGTTCGAGAACCCCGACGTTTGACGAAATAAAACGTACTTATTTGAATTTACAGTGAAACTCCACTACAGCTAATGCTGTGGAGGGTAATAAGTTTTATTGGATTTCTGCCACGACACCATAAGAATGGATTTTCGAAGGCTGTATACGTTCCCAGCGCACGGAACTCCTCAGTTCATATAATAGGCAATGATTTTTTTGTAATAAAATTCACAACTTTACGGAAGCAAGCCGTATGCAAATACCTTCTTCATCATTATTGCCCCTTTGGAATGACCGTTTTAGGCGGTTTTCATAATCCATCGTCCTGTAGAAAGAGAGAGTAATATGTTCATAAACTTAGTAGTAGAGGCATCTGTGCCAATTCACTGGACCTGATCCAATTGGTATTTGGAATGGGGCACTGTTCGAGGCTGAGCTCTGTGAGTGGAAACAACTGGATGAGCGATGTGAACTAAAGCAAGCTCACAAAGTTGAAATATCCGAGGGGAACTGAGCATAGTTCAACGTTTGAGCAAGATAAATCGTACTGGTTCTTTTTGCATATTTATTTTACATCAATAGATTAGAAATCCAACGATTATTTTGAAGTGATTTTTAACATTTGGTCTAAATACCATGCATATTTTATAGAGCTCTTAGCGAAGGCTTTCCATTCTGGCTGTCACTTGCGTAACTCTTCAGTATGGAGCTCAACCATGGTACTTGTGATGTTGACATTCCTTTGCTAGTACGTCACCGCAGGGGGTAGAGTGGAGTTGTGTGGAATTACCCGAAACGCAAGAACAATGTTTACGTAGTGATGGCCTGGGATTCATGAGTACACACTTTGAATGTTGCCAGTGTTTTGGCAGATCACGCGGAATGCTGGAATGGGGCACTGTTCGAGGCTGAGCTCTGTGAGTGGAAACAACTGGATGAGCAATGTGAACTAAAGCAAGCTCACAAAGTTGAAATATCCGAGGGGAACTGAGCATAGTTCAACGTTTGAGCAAGATAAATCGTACTGGTTCTTTTTGCATATTTATTTTACATCAATAGATTAGAAATCCAACGATTATTTTGAAGTGATTTTTAACATTTGGTCTAAATACCATGCATATTTTATAGAGCTCTTAGCGAAGGCTTTCCATTCTGGCTGTCACTTGCGTAACTCTTCAGTATGGAGCTCAACCATGGTACTTGTGATGTTGACATTCCTTTGCTAGTACGTCACCGCAGGGGGTAGAGTGGAGTTGTGTGGAATTACCCGAAACGCAAGAACAATGTTTACGTAGTGATGGCCTGGGATTCATGAGTACACACTTTGAATGTTGCCAGTGTTTTGACAGATCACGCGGAATGCGAAAAATCTACCTAAGCCCCTGTTTTTTTTATTTTTGGATTACGCTATTGTACTCATGGATAGATTTTTTTTTATGAATGTACGGAGCATATCCCTCAAGCGTGTTAACAGATAAGCTCGCTTTGATACACGAATGTCTGATCTACTTGGAAAGAGTTAGACGCTCGGTCTGTGGGCTGGAACCAGAGCTTGGACCGTTAGCAAAATACTCATTTAATTCACCATACGCAATATATTTCACCAAGTATTTTAACAGTTTCCGAATTATTTACTATCTCGGATCCCTTAGGTGTGAGTGCTGGCATGAGTAAATCTGAAGAAGACGGCTTGATCCATCTGTGGTGTGATAGCATAACCGGATTAAGCATCAAGTATGCCAAGTTTTCACCTGTCGAGTAGTTTTGTTTCACGCAGGGACTGACCATGTAGTAGCGGGAGGAATACAGCGGGGGTGAAGAATAGGTTTTTGCCGTCAAGGAGACCAAGAATAATAGTTCAACTAGCAAATGCTAGATTTGAATGAAACATTGCGTTCCGCCTACGATTTTCCGTTTGTTATTTTTCACAAAGTCGAAAGCCTACAGCTTCTACCCCGTTCCATCTCCTCCAGACTTATCACTAGGATGCTCTTTTTATTTCTGAGGATGTGCACGAATGATCCACCCAAGCACCAATACTTAATAAATAAAAACAAAACTTCACAAAGCGTTCGGTGAATACTCCTTTACAAAACAGCGGCGTGAATCGCCTTTGTGCTGTGCCGCACCAGGGTTGAAGTGGCTAGATGAGCAGAGTTTCTCTCATTTTAAGAAAGCCGTTACATGCGGAGCAATCATATAGGTGGCGCCCACTTGATCGTCTCTGAATCGGCCGACGATGCAATTTACTTTTTTGAAATTGTGACGTCCCAGAAGTGGCAACTGAAGACTTATCTAAACCCACTAAGCCGATCAATGCTTCGTGGTGATTGTCTTGATTTTCTGTGCACCGACTATGCAGACACAAGTACGCACACAAACAAACATAGGTCATGCTTGCCAGGGCCCTGTGTATTTTGGTGAAATCATAGCGGCCACAGGTCACGTCTGACTTTAACTATGGCATGATTCACCCGAATGTCTCGTTCAGCATGTTTGTCGCTGTAATTTGCGTTACTAGGTACCGGAGTGAACCCAAATTCGAAAAGGGCACATACCTGGAAAATCGATGCCCGCGACTAAATCTTCCTGACAGGTCATCTAATAAAAAATGCACTAGGCACAAAATTATCATAGCCAGTCAGAGGAATTCACCTTGCAGTTAAAAATGGTGACATTTTATCAGTATCGGTTGCCTCACATCTGCTAGATAGGGTGTTCTTAGAGTAAACTGCGGAAAATAGGCAAAGGGAAACGTTGGTGGCTGAAATTGATGGAGAACCGACCGGAAGCAGATGTTTGATGTTGGACTGCAAATTTAGTCAAGTGTTATGTGACTGGGCTGTCACATAGACACGTGCGAATTGCGTTGCTCACTCGATGACGAGGTACAGATACCGGTTGGATTCGGCGGATCCTCACCGGCCGTAACATTCATTCTAAATAACTACTCACTAAGATTAAGGAGTAACTACCGTGGCATAAAGTGTTGGTACTCAGCCTCTGCATCTCTGTTGCTATATCAGTAGCCCAATTTAGCCGACCTATACTCTAGTCATTGGCAGTTGCAAATGCTTTTAAGCGATCCATCATACTTAACTACACTTCTACTGCCCCCGAAGCACTTCTGAACAATCTTTAATGTAGTCAGTTGATCAAAGGACGATTATCTGCTCACACTTTACAGTGAAAATATCAAGCAAGCAGTCAAAATCGATAACTGGTATTCAAGTATCTCAAACGAATTAGTAAATTCTGTCGAAGATTTTGGATAGGTTCTTACAAGGACCATTCTTGAAATTAGCTTAAAAGAGTTAGATACTCTTCCCTATTTTTTAGACCAATTCTTGCCGATAAATTTTCGTTTCTCTTCAAATCTTCAATAATGATCAAGAACACAAATCACCCTGGCTTCTCAGCCATGGCTGCAGTTTATTTCTGGAATTTTCAGGGATCGTAGCTTGGGTATTCTTTCCCAAGTTGTTCTACCAAGAAAAAGCACTGCTAAGTCTGTTCTTTGTTTTCTCTTTATTTAGCTTCCCAGTATCTACAATGAGTAATGTTCAAACATAGTTCGTATAGCATAATTTTTTCCACTCCGTTTTTCAAAGTTTAACACTAACTTATTACTGATATTTTATTTAAGATACACCGTGTGGAGGTGTTGAGTCAACCATCCATTTCAAGGAACGAACCGCTACTCGCACTGAATTCGTCTTCAACGTTGCCAAAGGACGAATCCTTAAAATCCCGTGTAATTCTGCTACAAAATCAGGTCGACGCCCAGTCGAGACGCATTGCAGAGCTGGAACAAAAACAGGAGCAAGTGAGTGCATGCAAAGTTTCTAGTTCACAGAGCGTCTAAATAGTTTCCGGCGACCACCGAATATAAGGTCTCGCGTGAAGGTTACCCGAAAGTTGACAACGTGGTTTTGATGCAGCACATGGATTTCAGAAAACAAAAGAATATCAACTGAATTCGCGGATAATACTTAGAGAAAAATACTAATTTTTTAAAGATTGTTTTTGTGGTCCTTCGTGTTGCGTAAATCGCAGATAGGAAAATAGGCACACATAGAAAGAGGTTGCGTATATCATGATTTGTGACTCAAGAGACTGTAGGGATGGAGGGAAACTGTTGTTCTGGAGATATTTTAGCATGATCTATGCAGGTTTGAACAGCACTAACTTTTCCTAGGTGTGAGAATAAATCATTCTATACTTCAGGCAACTTCTAACAAGACATTTTATTACCACGAGATCAAAATATCCTTGAAAGTAACCTAGACCATCTTCAATTGTCTTCGATAGATTTCTACATCTAAACGCATGCTCACATATTCTTGAGCAATATCTTCAAATCCATAGATTAGCGGAATGTCTCGTGATTCTCACCTAGACTACTCTCTTCATAATGTGGCTTTCGAATAAAGTATGTTTCCACAGCGGCGAAGAATCAATTCTGAACATTGATATATGTCGTCAATGGTGATAGTGGCAATTTTGGCCGTTAGGCACGTAATTTTTATCACGGAAACGCGTGCGCACAAAAAGTATTTTCACCCTGAACGATCAGGTTGCTTTTATCGAAAACCGCTCTTTTGACAGCAACTGACTCCTCAAAATGCAA